TATTTTATTTAAATTTAAATTTATATAAATATTATAAAATATTATATTAAGCAAAATATTATAAAATATTTTAAAAAAAATATTATAAAATATTTAAAAAAATATTATAAAATATTCAAAAAAATATTATAAAATACTTTAAAAATATTATAAAATATTAAAAAAATATTCTAAATTATAATTGATTTAAATATAATATTTTTATATAAATACTATAATATATTTTAGGATTTTAAGGATGAAAGATAATCGATGAGAAATCAATCAAAATATTGCGCTCAATAGCATATGATAATATCATATTTTAAACTCTGATATATCCAATATATAAAGTTCAAAATATTTAAATTAAATAGCATAGCATTTCGTGTGCAAGTATTTCCGGATGCTGGACAGGACACGCGACTCCGTAAGCTAGCTTGAACCACTTTCAGCCTAGGAGAGGCCTTGGCTAAGCCCAGAAACAGATATGTAACATATATACATACATATATGTATATCAAATATGTAAAGGATATGGGAAAAGAAAAAGCCTAAACAAACACGGTGACTTTCACCTGGATATGCCACTTAAGCCAGGGGCATTCGTACAGCCGTGAATGCGGATCCCGTAACGGGTCCGGTCCTCAAACGTCGGCATTAGCGGCAAACAGCCAGCAGGCAGCAGCAAGTGGCTTAAATCCTTTACGTTATCCCCGAACAGACACATGTAACATGGTCCCTAAACGTGGCCAAAAGCCCAAATTGCTCTGCCAAAAGGGGGAAGGCAAGTGCTGCTTATACTGCTTTCTGCTTTCTGTGCTTGGTAACTATGATTGTAAGCACGTCCTGGCCGCAGCTTAAGTTTGGTCAAAGAGAGAATTTCCCTTCAAAGGTAAGAGAGGCGGCTGGAAGGTACTGGAATTACAATCTAAAATCCTACACGACCTGCGCATGCCCTGCAAAGAAATGTAAGGAAACCAAGAGACTTAAGTTCCATCTTGAAAATATAAATAATATACAGATACAAATACTATATAAAATAAGAAAATAGAAATATTTTCAAGAAACAAAAACCTAAGCTTATACAATTTTTAATTTATATATATTTTTAAAATTTACAAATTATGTTTCAACTGTGCCAAAATGCTTGCTTAAAAAAATAGGCTCACTTATCTAATACCCTAACTTCCAGGACTGGAATTTTGTGGTGCCTTTCTCTTTGTGGTTTTAGATGCTCTCTTAAAGAGGGGAATTCCCCGATTTACAAGACAGAACCGCCAAAACCGCAAATGTAGAAAATCAAATCAGAAACCGAGCTGGCAAACAAGATCCTGACTTAAAGCTTAATTCTTAATCAAAGAAGAAAACAGGTGTCACAAATTAAATAAATAAAATATGTATATTCTACTATTTATTTATTTATGACTGCATTATTTCTATTCTAAGCCAATGGATTTTCCCAGAAAACTCAATTTTCTTCAATGCATTTCATATGTAATTTGTCAGCTTAATGATTTGCCTCAGTTAAACATAATTTATTGGCACAAACTGTCGTCAAATGAGAGCAGAGGCAACCCGAAACCCGAATCGAAAGAGGACTCGAGGGACTGCAGGATAATTAAATATGAAGCGAGTCGAATTTCGAATAGTAATTAATTCCTACTTTAAAGCAAAAGGCAACTGTTTCAAGGCTCTGAGTGTGTGTGTGTGTAAGTTTGTGTGTTTGCATTGCCATTATATCCATTATCTGCGAAATGTCAGTAAGAAAATTTACAACTGTTTGTCGGCACTGGTAATTTATGGGCCAAAATGGGGTTTATGCAGCCAGAAACCGCCTTAAATGTGCCATGTGCCGGGAATACAAATAGTAAACCCTCCCAAACCCCCTTCCCCAAAGTTGGCGGCTTGTCCGCCGCTTTGCTAATTAGACGCTCAACATATCACATGCATTCTGTGCACTCATCACTCAAAAAGTCAACGCATCAGAAGGCTCAAGCTGCCAGACAGCAACTGCAACAGCAACAGCAGCAGCATTAACATCAACTACAGCAAAAGCTGTTTGTATCCGCGGCAGCAACAGGAGTACCTCTTGAAACCTAATAATTACAAAGAAAATATTTATAAAGTATGAAATGTGCTAATATAAAACTACAAATATTTATATTTCTGAGATGGTTTCTTATGTATATTTCTTTCTTTGTCAAGAAAACCTTTAAGAAGTAGCTTAATTTCTTTACAAGATTCTGTAATTACTTAATTACATTTTGGTTCAGGGATCTCTTGGTTTATTCTCTCTGCTGGCAAGGGTATGGCTTATTTTTTATATATTTAATTTGGCGTCAAATATGTGCCACAAAGTAGCTGGAAAGCGGGAAAACGGAAAAGGCACCCAGCAGATCTTGATGAATAATGAATTGGACATGGTACAGTGGTCAAATCGAAGCTTTTAAATATCATAATTAAACCAAAAAGGTATTAATTTGAATTCAGAATACTATTTTGAGTTAGTTTTTAATATGAATTATTTTATTTATTTATTTATTTTTTTTTTTTAATATATTTTTTTGACAGTTTTTCACAAGGGTATAATAATAATATTTATAATATATTATATAAAAATAAACAATACTTCCTAACCAACATTTAACATTTTTCAAGAGCTCAAGAAAATATTTATAAATATAAAGCATGGGATTGTGACCCATAAATATCTATATTAATAAATAAAGTAATATAATAAAGATAATATAATATTAAAATAATATGCAATTATAATTCCATCGCTTCCACCGTACTTTCTCGACTACATTTATCGCCGAAATGTATGCTATGCAATTTTAAAAGCGAAGAAACAGCGCAACAGTTGAAGCTCAGCTTCCACCCCCCACCTCCCGCTTAACATCTCCGCCACTCTCCACCTGCACTCCGTTTGCAGTTCAAGTTCGTGGAGGGGGGAAAGAGAGCGAGTCACAAGGAGTGACAAAAGTCGGAAAGCATAATGTGTAAGTCATGGTGGAACTACTCAAGGTGGTCTCATTGCAAGAACTGCATTCTCCTTTAAAGACGTTTGCCTATTGCCAGCTCTTTCTAGCGCTTGTTTGTCCAAGAGCCGGAGAGAGGGCTATAAATATTTATCGTCCTCAACAAAGGTGATGAAGACCACCTTCTAAAGTTGCATCATGATGTAAGCCATTGAATAGTCTCTCAGTGAGTGTGCGTGTATGAGTGTGTGATTGTGCATACAAAAGCAAAGGCAGAGGTGTATAAACACAAAAAACCTTTCAAAATTCTAGCGAGCTACATTCGTTTGGCACACGAATTTCAATTTCCGCTTCATTACGCCCCCCCACTCTCTCCACCTATACTGGCTCTCACTCTGACACTTTCACTCTCTTGTTCTTCAATCCGTTTTGAGGAACAAGAATGCACAGGCAAAAATAACAGCAGTGACAATAAGAGCGAAGAGGAACGGAGAGAGAGTAAGACAAAGGTGGAGTCGGGAGTTGGAGTTTAAGAGGGATTTATAAATAAATAAATAAAATATTAAATTAAAATATATAAATAATAATCTCTTAAAATAAAAATAACAAAATATTTGAATATTTTAAACATTTCAAAAATGTATTTAATATACTTAAACAGCTAAACCAACACATTTTGTTTAAATATTTAATTTTTAATTTATTTTCTTCAAGACCCAAGCTTCTTGAGCAAACCATCTTGTTCAGTCTATAAAATTGTTGAAAAATCCTGGACATCAACACCTTAAACAATATCCATCATCTAGACACATTGCCATTTCTGGGGCAGGAATATTCCGGAAACTTTTGAATCTCTGCTGCCTCCGGAAATTCTCGTTCAGGCATTGCGAGTATTTTGCCTTTGCGACAAGCTATGTATATGAAATATTTGAGAATATCTGGTGAAACTTTTCCAGCTTTTCGTTTAGCTATTTTTGTGGAGCCGAGGGCCGAGACTTTTGTCCCAGGAGGAGAGAGGGAATGGTTACAGGGAAAGTTGTACTGTTCCCCTGCTCCCAGGCAGGCAGTTTGATTGCCTTTAAAAATGTTACTAGGTTGCACTTCCCATTTAGATTGTCCTTGTTTCGGTTTAATTAAGTCCTCACCACCCTTGAAACAGTCGTTATCCTTAAACGGTGAACCCAGCAACAAGCAAAAGTAGCTTGGCAGGACATTTCGGGATGTAAAAGGGTTATAAAAGTGAATAAACTGAAAATATATGGTATAAATGAATAAAATAAATAAATATTATATATAAAAATATGCAGTAGATATTATATTTAAATTTCCAAATTATAAATGTGCTTTGTATATTTTTTTTGTATTCTAATTTAAATAATATCTGCCGGCTTTGCCAACACTGGGTTGTGAAACAGGATCGGGATAATCGGTTCATGGCGCCACTGACTCCGAATATGTTTGGGTTGCGGGGCGAGCTAAGTGGATAAGAAATACCGGTTTTGTCTTGGTCCTTGGTCCCTGAACCTTAAGGATATAAAATATATTGTTCAATTCGCTATTTAAATCTTATATTTGAATGTAAAATCCAATTTTCTCAACTATCCTAAACATAATTTTTTTATAACGTAAAATTTAGAATATATATTTAATAAATTAAACGAATTAGAACAGTTTATAAGCAAGCTTTGAAAATAAGTTTTTAGCTCATTCTTGTTTAAAAAATTATTAAAAATTACAGGTAAGTATTTAAATAAAACTAAGTAAGCAGCTTTGTTAAGCTTAGAAAAGCTATCTTAGAACCGCTTTCCGAATTGAATTTCATGCATTTTTGGCTGAATTATGAACCTTTGAAAATGTGTTTTTTTTTTTCAAAAATTATCAAAATAAATCGCTCCACTTTTTCAAAAATATCTAAGGGGTTACATCATTAAAATTGAAAAAAATGAAATTAAAAAGAGCCCTAAACGTAGTATGCAGCTAAACAAGTGAAAAATATATTATATCTTGCAGACATTTTATTTAACCCCTTAAACTTTATAAAGTTTATAAAATTGAAAAAAGTAACATTAAAAATATAACGCTTAATCTCACATATATCATTTTACTTAATAAGAGAGATATTTGTTTTAGAGAGAGATGTTTGTTTTATTATTTATTTTCGTTTATGTATTTTTATTTACATTAAATAGGGCTGCATAAATTGAACTACAAACTACAAATACACTTTAGATGCTTGAAAAAAAATTAAATAACAAAAATAAATAACGGTGTTGGGGATGCATGAATAACAATACTATAAATAAAATACAAACTGTTCCTGCTATAAACACATGACCGAATTTGGGAACAGTTGAAGGGAGCGCTTTTATAGCAAGAAGGAAGAACCATAAACTGTGGCACAAGCCAAACTGCTTTAAACTGCTTGCCCTTGGCGGTAATTACAAAAAAAAGAAACTTAAACTTATGTCATGGATTGCTACTTACTACGAACACCTAGCTAGCGATTAAATAGCTACGCTACGTAGCTACGTAACTCTAACTCGTAACTCAAATAGTCAAAGTAGATAATTAGGGGCAACTGGTAATTAGATAATTCAATTTAGAAAAAAAAAAAACGAAAGCTAGATGAAATCTAATCCCTGCAGTAGCTGGAGCGCAGGACATTCTCGGCGCCCGCCAAAATGGCGCCCTCGTGCTGCGGACAGAGCTTCAGGTAGAGCTCACTGGACTCCATCGCCTCGACCAGCACGTACTCCAGGTAGATCCTCGGCGAGGACAGGATGCGCCAGGTGAGCGGATTCAGGATGCTTGTGGGATACTCCCAGTTCACGGTGGCATACTCCGGCTCCCGCACATCCCGACCCGCCACCAGAGCGTTGTACTCGTAGCCAGGCTCAAAGTACATGGCCTTCGGCGAGAATCGCATCAGTTCCGTGGACGAGGCGGCATCCGTGCGCTTGCCGCTCTTCTTCCCATGCAGCTGGACGGAGAGGATGCCCACCTCGCCGCCGTGCAGGGTGCTCTCATCGTGGCCGGACACACGTACAGTGATCCTGTAGTGCAGCCGGCAGAAGGGAGCCCGGTCGCCGGTTGTCAGATAAAAGACGCCCGGCGAATCGCCCTGACGCAACTGGCCGAGATCCACCTGCTCCTGGTAGTCCTCCTGACTGTGGTAGCCCATGCGCAGGCAGGTGTGACCCGGCTCCTCGCAGCTGGTGCATTTGGTGTCCTTAAAGCTCTGCGGGCGCGAAAGAAGAATTAATTTCACAGTTTGTCCTGCGAATATCCCTCTCCCACTCACCTCAAAGGAATCACAGGTGATGCCCAAAAACGGGCACTGGGAGCCAATGCTCTCCGTGAAATACTGCTGGCTCCGGATGTGATTGCAGCCCAGGAACTCCTGCATGGTCAGGAAGAGGGTCTTCTTCTTCACCACGTCCTGGAACTTCTTGTTGCAGCCGGGATTATCGAAACCTCCATTGGGAAAGAAGTCGACATGTCCCAGCCGCATATTGATGCCCAGTCCGCCCTTCATCAGCGGATTGGCATCGGTGTGCACCACATCCACAAAGTGGGCGTCCGTCTTGTCCAGCCGCACAATGGGATCGGTGTCGGTGAAGAGCGGCGCTGCCGGATCCAGGCCCGTTATCCTGGCCGCCTTCAAGCCAAAGTCCCGCTGCAGGTGATAGCCCGCATAGCCGGACAAATGGGCGCCGAGGGAGTGGCCAATGATGTGAACATTGTCCAGATTGGGCAGTCGCAGCTCCTCGTACAGCATGTGGACCACATGCGCCGTTATGGCGCCCACCAGCCGGATATTAGCCACCGCCTGGACATACGGCGGACTTGCGCCGCCGCCCCAATCAATGAGCACGGCACAGGCACTGCCCTCCGGCTCGTAGGCCAGCAGGGCCTTGGCCATGTCCGACATCCAGGGTATCTCGCCCGACTCCAGGTAGCCGTGGACCAGCAGAAAGATCTTTCCCCGCGGATCGATGCCCATGCCCTGGACACTGTCCGGATCGTTGAGATCCAAATACTTGGGCTGGTCCAGTTGCCGGCGCGTGTGCAGCGTGAAGTGAGGCTCAATCTCCGAGGGCTTCTGCGGATGGACGTTGATCGAGCGGGTCACCGTGTTCCAGGGTCCGTTCAAGGGGAAGCAGCCGTAGACGCCGAAGCACTTCACCTCGTTGATATCTGGCGGGGATAAGCAAGGATTGGCAAGAATTAGCTTGGGTGGGTATTTTTGATATGGTAAATCATTTGAAGGCAGATAAGGTCTGGGAAACTAAGGAAACTAATTGAAGCAGGCAAGAGAATATTCTAGCCCTAAAAACCTAACCTAGAAACCTAACTATTTCTTAAATAAAAACCCCATTATTATCAATAATTGTTTACTTAATTAACTTAATAAACAGTTAGAAGCGTTTTGGTCTGCTTATCAGTTAAGCCAACTGGAAAAACTTGACTAGCAAGCCAAGAAATCATAATTGGAATCACAATTCTGAAGGGTTTTTCGGCCAGTTTTTGACCAACAGCTGAGGGCCATTAAGGGCTCCAGTGAGCCATGAAGACCTCTAGAAGGCTCCACCGGAGCATGGATGACCAGGCCACTGACCACTGACCAGTGTCGCCTTCTATGTGATTTTGTTGTTATTTAAATATATATTTCTTTATCGTGGTCTTTTGGCTCTCTTTGGCATCTGCCTTCGTCTTCCGTTTGCATCGGAAGTTATCGATTAGATAGGCTGTACTATATATCGCTATATCCATATCATATACCGCCGCCATATTATGGCATTTGCGATACCGGGGCACCGAGGCACGTCATTAGCCCCGGGACCCTGATTTCCAAACCAAATCGAAAAGCTGCTGCTGCTGCTGCGGCACACCACCTGTTACACGGAGAGAAATGTCCAGGTGGTCTTAAGGAAAATGCTTGAAATTGAGTTAATAAATTAAATGAACAACTGTATTTATGTTTAATAATTTTTAATTAAATATTCAATAGTTTTTAACTATTGTTTTGAATATAACCAAACAATTTCTTTAAAATATGTGCTTAAAATTGAGTTAATAAATTTAATAAACATCTGTATTTTTCCTTATACGTTACCCTTTATGGTATTTTAAGAAATTTTTATAATATTTTATATTTAAAAGTTCTTTATACATTTTTTTTTAGTGCTGCTTACGGCGGTTGCCTTTGATTTCAGAGCAGAGCTTTCCCCGCAGACCAGCATCTGAGCATAGAATGACCCAAAAGTGCCTCAAAAGTGCCCCGAAAGAAGGCCCAAAAACGGTTTGCTTAGCACACACACACTCGGGCTGTGTTTAAGCCAACGAGCAACCACTTAGAGACCAGAGCAGAGAAGAAGCCCCAAATTGAAGGCTCTGGCCCCAAAGACACACAGTTGTGGACAAAATAATAGCTGCCAGTCAACCGAAAAATTTGGTAATTGGGGAACATGTAAATGTCTGTAGAAATTGGCTTTTTAAATGAATTATCAACAAGTTTCTTATATTTATTTAAAATTGAGAAAACAAAAATATAGAAATGAATTAAAAATCTTTTGAAATAGCCGAGCTAATTATCTGTTTTCTCCTATATTTTTCTGTAAATATATATTTACTAAATAGTCAAACAAAAAATTCCCCAACAATTCGTAAACATAAACCAAAATACTTAATGAGTTTTAAAGGCCTTTAGTTAATTTTCCCATTTGATTTATTTACTTTTGACTTATTTGCAAAGTTTAAATATAGAAAAAAGTCGGGGACAACTGTAACTCTAGCCAACAATTTTTCTTTAAATAATTTGTAAATAGCAAGGCTTTATTCCTTTACTTTACTAGGATAATCTAGAAAAATTGCTTAAAATTCGACTATATATTTTGTTCGTAGTAGTAACTGCTTTTAATAATGGTTCACAACTTTGTTTGAATATTTATTTATTTGCAGAATTTACTAGAAATTTGTAGAATATATTTAGGATATTTTTATAAACCAATCAAAAAATCTCAAAATTCGAAGCACCTTCTTTAAGCTTCAAATGGTAGATTAGATTCTGATCTTGTGTTACTTACCGCTCTTGGGGGCTGGTGGCAGATCCACGAGGGTGTTGACCGCCGCCCTGCTGGTGTGATTCGCCAGGTACAACATGGTCTGCAGCATCAGGCCGCCGGTGGTGTTGGCCATGTACATCCTTGCTTACACCCTTTTGAATTGCCGTTCACTCTTTGCACATATATGAATGTCTGGCAGGGGTTCTTAACCGACCAATAATGGTCACAAATCACTGGGGCACTCGAGTTGGGCTATTATCTAAGTCTAAGACCTGTTGCTGTTGGCTTGTTGGCTCTTCGTTAGCCTTAATTAAGTATTCTTTGGGCCCTAGTTAATCTTATCGACGGAGTGGTGAGTGGTGTCTCTTCCACGAGTGTCGTGGTCGTGTCTCGTCGCGGGTGCCGTTACTTTCTGGCCCTCTGAGGTCTCTTGTCTATCTCCCCGTTACTATCTAGCGCCGCCTCTATATATGTAATATATATAGTCCGCCGATCTTGATCGCCTGAGAACCGTCGCAGTACTGAGCGGATCAGCTGCGATTCCGTCAATATTTATGGCGGCGAGCAAAAGCGAAAACGAAGCCGAAGCTAAAGCCCGAAGTGAGCCAATGGAAAGCGCATCCGAAGCTGCAACCCAAGCTTATGACGCTGTGCGTCCATAGTGCTGGCACTTTGGCAGATTTCCCGCCAGAAGCTTAGCTTTAAATTTAAAATATACATAAGTAATATAAATTAATATAATATAAAATATATAATATAAATAAACTTGAAATGGAATTTTGTAATATTAACATTATTAAATACAGATTATTATATCTTTAAATTTATATTTATATAGGAATTTTGCAGCTTATTAACCTCTTTTAATATAAATTTATTATATTCTTAAATATATTTTTTTTTTCGATTTTTTTAAAATAAATATTATCATAAATATGATATAACCCCGCACCCTGCAACAGAGCTGTCGCTGCAGTTGGCCCTGAGCCGCAGCAGCAGCACTCTGATAAGGCCATAAAAATAAGCAGCTTTTTGCTCAGTGTAGATGCAAAGTACAGCAGCTGGTTGAATCTGCTCTTCTTTGTTGAATCGGATGCACCTTCATGATAAGCGGCGAGGCGCTGGAGCCACAACAAAGTGACCGCCAATGGAGGCAGAGCTGATAATGGGTCGGGTTGGGGTTCGGGCTCCATTCCCATGTATATATATATATATATATATATATATATATATATTATATGTATGTAGAATAGCAAACAGACACAGAGAGACCCCCTTGGACTATCAGCAGCTGTTTTCCAGCAAGCAGCGATTAAGCACATAAAGAAAAGCACAGAGAGATAGCAAAATAATTATTTTTTACATAGTTTTTAAAGTTTAAAAAAATATATAATTTTTTTAAATTTAATATCAGTTATATAAGTAATTAAAAAGATTTATTAAATTTGATTTTGAGGCCCATAAGCTGTAAGTATTTTGGTATGAATTTAGTGGAAACTTTTGCCTTAAGATCTTTTGATTTTTCTATTCATTTTCTTATAACTAACTCATAATATTTAATATATTATATTATAATATATATATTAATTATATATGTATGTATTTCAAGAAATATTTTAAATAAACCCTTACAAACCTCACTTTTAATATTAAATCTATAAGATTCTAATACATATGTAAGTAAACCTGAATTAAACATTTTGTAATCCTTATGATCCCTTTGATCTTTTTGGGATTAGTATTTCCCCTTTATTTCTCACTGTGTTGCGGTTGGGGGAGATTCCTTTAGAAACTGTGTCAATCCCCAGGCCAGCCCCCTTGACAGGTGGTGTCAATGTCTGGTAAGTATTCCCACTCCCGGATCCCCTTTCCCGATTCCCGCATGGCAAGCCTTATCAGCGATCTCTCTCACAGAATCCCGTTTCGCCTTCGAGGCGTACAAAGTCCGGACAGCGGTTTATGGATTACGGAGAAGGTGTTTACGATCGATTCCACCAGGATCTCGAATGCCGACGACCATTGACGTCAAAGTGATCATCGATTCCAGCCGGCAGACAGCCAGAGGGTGCGGCCTTTTGGTGTCCATCGTTATCATTTTGCTTTATTCTTGTTTTTGTTTACGACATTCTTTGGGGCAGCCACCCACACACTTGGCCTGGAAACTAGGGGAGAACTAGAGGCAATCAATAGTCGAGATTCCCCTTGGTAGTTTCCACTTCCGCGTGGCAGCAACAGATCCAAATTCCTCGAACTATCTCTATGACTACCTCTCTCTCTCGAAATGATAAGCATCGAACTTTGATTCCGAGAATCGATTCCGGTTCAAAAATCCACACTTGCATGGCCCACACTGACCTGCAAAAGTCTGGGGCTTAAGAGTTTAACTTTAAATTTATACTTTTTATGAATTTTGATAGTAACAATTTCTCAATAAGCAGATATTAAATTATATTCTTTAAGCTATTCTTTTGATTAATAATGTTTTAAAAACTGAGAAAATTATACTTTCTTTTAGCAAAAACCTGACGCTATGCAAGGTTTTCAAATTTAATTGAATTTAAGTTTAATTTTTAATATTTTTAGTTATTTGCAGGACAGTGGCCATATTTTTACGCCACACTGACGCACAAAATATTTTGTTTACAGCATTGAAGGAAGTCTATTTACGTGTGCTGTTACATATATAGATGTATAGATTATGGGTTGCAAAATAGAAAGTACACAATCCGTAATATATGGGCTTTATTATTATTGTTTACACAGATTAATTCGATCGATTTGAATGAGTACAAAGTAGAGAAAAGTACAGAAAGTCCTTGTAACTTCTTAGTTGGCACCCAGAAGCAAAGCTCAGAATATATTGTACTTTTTTGTAGCAAAAATATGTATAGCATGGAGAGGGAATTATGCTAATCTTGAGTTTTTGACACACATAAAACAATCATTTGGGTCAAGCGAAAACTGGGTCAATGCTCATTAGAAAATTGAAATATTTATAATAAAATAAGATAAACCTTTAAGTGGGAAAAAGAATAAATCAAAAAATGTAATGGGATTTAGAAAAATAAAAAAAAAATATAATAAATAAATATTATACATATAAACAAAAAACCACATAAACTTTGCTTGCTACCCAACCATATTTCGCTTTTATATATATTCTCTTTTATATTGATTATAATCCTCATCCTGAAAAATCCATAGAAAGCAAAGGGATTTTGTTTTAGTTTTGAACAAACTTTCAGTATTATTATTTATTTGCTAGAAAACAAATTTAGCATAGAATTAAAGTAGAATTATGGCAGATCTAGTATAAAGAGGACATTATTTGGTTACGGCAGACTGTACTTCGGCATTTCGATATTCGCTAGAGCTGGCCAGGACGGTGATGAATTTAAAATCGATATTGTTATCGAAATAATCGATGAACTGTATTGATAACTTTGATCCTGGCCAGCTCTCTAAGCTCTGATCTTAGTGATATTTTTTTTTAGGGAAATCGGAAATATCGCGCTATCGAAATATCGTAATATCTTGATACAGATACCGGGCACAGGAATTATTATGGGCTAAAAATGGCACTTAGGATTAAGCTCAGCGTACAACTAGTTTAACATAAAGCAGCGCCTCCTGGGATTACTCAGAGCGCTGCATAATCATCTCGATCTTGTCCCCGGCGGCAGCAATCAGCGGAACAGTCAGGCAGCAGTCAAAGTCCTGCGTCTTCATCTCATTTACCTGGCAGAGGAGGAGGAGGAGGAGGAGATCGTAGATTATAAGGAAACATGCAAAAAGCTATGACAACCCACCTGCATGATCCGATCGAAGGGCTTCAGCAGACCGCACATATCCGCAGGACCACCGCTCCGGATCCTGTTGATAAAGACACCCCTTTCGTACAGGCCATCCGACACCGAGAAGCCATAGTCGTCGTACACCTTGTCCTTGTACAGGGTCACATGGAAGATTCGAGGCTTGCCATTGCCATTGGCATTTCCATTTGTGTTCCCACTTCCGTTGGCATTGCTGTTATTGTTGTTGGACTCCTTGCTGGCCTCCGTGTTGGCCGAGGGACTGCGCGGACGCCTCTGGACCTTGGCATAAATGGCCTGGGTTTGGGGTAGAAGATGACTGTCTCCGCCGCCGCCGCCGCCGCCGCCGCCACCGCTGCTGCTGCCATTGGCAAGGTCATGGCTGCGCAGGATCTTCAGGTCAACCAGCTCACCAAGATTCTGCAGCAGGCTGGTGGCATGGGATAGCGGCATGCCCTGCACCGAGTGCTCGTCAATGGCCAACAGCTGGTCACCCACATGGATCTGGCCATTCTTGTGGGCAATGCCTCCTATGGAGAAGAGAGATCTTGGTGGAATTACTTTTTAGGCAAGGAGGAATAGAGCTTTCACCTTCAACCAGACCACTGATGGTGATGGGCTTGGTGATGTCCTCGCTGCCGGCCAGGGTGATGCCCAGCAGGCCCCCCTTGGGCTCCAGGCGGACCGTAAAGATGATTTGGTGAAGGCTGCTCCCGCTGCTCTTGCTGCTCGAACTGGCTGCCGAACCGTAGACCTTGCTCTCCATGGGCGGCGGCAGGGCAGTGCAGTCCACGCTGAGGATCAGGATCAGGATAAGGATAAGGATAACTTTAGAGGATCTGGTAACTCTCTCTCTCTCTCTCTGACCACTCACCTGGCATAGCGATTGAGCTCGTAGCCGGGATACAGCTGCTCCTGCTCATCCTCCTCCTCGGGCAGCTCGGTGGTGAGGCTCTGCGTGTTCGGCGGGGACACAAAGGACCGGCTGTTGCTTGGCCAGCCATTGCTCTGACCCTGACCCGACCCTGAACCCGCTCCCGGTCCATGTCTTAGCTGGACAGACTGCAGGCTGGCATCGTCCATGCTGGGCACCCGAAAGTAGTCCGGCTGCGGCGTCCGCGACTTAAGGGAGACACAGTCGGCATATTTCCCAGACGAAGTCACATAGGCGCTGCTGTAGAGGTCATGATCCCCGCCAGAAGATGCCAATCCCAGTCCCAGGCCCACGGGGGGACAGTTGCTATAGATGGGACTGGACATGGGCAGGAAATCGGGAAGGACCACCCGCTTGATGGTCAGCGTGGTAAAGTCTGAATTGCTGCTGTGCGGTCCGCGTGCCTCCTCCTTGAGAAGGGCGTCCACGTTAAAGTGCTGAACTGGGTGCTGATCCACGGCCAGCAGGATGTCGCCGGAGCGCAGGGAACCGCTACGATGGGCCGGACTGCCCATCTTTACGTCCGCAATGACCAGGCCGCCGTGACTGGAGCCGCTGACACTGAGGCCGAGGCCACACTTGCCGGCGCGCAGGAGCTTCACGCTGAACACACCGCTGGAGGGCACCACGGCGTCCGGCATATCGAACTCGATCTCCAGCTCCAGCCAGTTGGCGGGTGCGGCAACTCCCCCGCCGCCTCCCCCTCCACTTCGGTTGGCGTTGCCGCCCTCCAGCAGTTGCCGCATGGCCGCCGCATCTAGGCTGTACATCTTATTGATGGCCACGATGCGATCGCCAGCCTGAATGCAGCCGCTGCGATCGGCCACCGAGTCGGCCAGGATCTTGGCTATGGTCACTGCTCCAGCTGCAGCTCCAGAACCAGCTGCTGTTCCGGCTCCTGTGCCGTTTCCTAGGGCATCTGCCAGGATAATTCCCGCCCCGTGGCTGCAGTCGAGGAGCACGGGAAAGCTTTCCGCCCGGCAAAGGCCCAGACCCATGTTGCTGGTTCCTCCAGCTGGTACAGAAGCGGCTGAAGACAAGGGCCCCTCCAAAGGCAGGGAGCTCTTCCGGGCGAAACGCTGACGCTGGCGACCCGCCGTCGATTTGCGGGACTCCAGGGTGCTAAAGCTGTACTTGGGACTGCCCAGGGCCGTGTGACCTGTGCCAAGATATATAAATAAATATAAATATATAAGTATTTATTTAAGAAATAACAAAAAACAAAAAATATAAATTTAGTAAAGTAAAATATTCAAAGTAAGGCAGTTTAGCTCCTTAAAATCGAAGAACTTCTTCTAGAACTCCTGCTGCTCCTCCACAAATTGATGGAGTGGCTTCTGCCCCCCAACCTCTTCAATCACATCTCCCTTCCTCCATTTAATGGACGCTTTTAAGACCTCTTCCAGCCTGTCCACATCCACTTCCATGGCAACTGAGCCGCAGCTTAGCTGATCCCAGCTGCGTATCCTCTGCCGAGTCAACAATTTATGGCATCACCTCAGTCCTCTCCCCCTCCTCCTCCCTCCCCACTTGGTTCTATATTTTATTTGGCTCGTACTTGGATCCGGATTTGGCTTCGATTGATTGTCAGGAGGGGAGAATGATCTTGCTATGCTTTTTTCGGCTCTTTCGGTGCTTTCCGTCTTTGGAATGTGCGCCTCGCTGCGTGTTTGCTTAACAAATGGAGGGAGGAACTGGGAAAAACAATTGATTGGCTGCAGCGAGGGTGGATAGAGAAGAAAATGGGACAACACAGAACATAAAACTAAAAGAAATATTGTAGAAATTGCAGAAATTCGACTGAGAAACTCTTAAAAATAACAGTTAACTTGCGGTTAAGAGTGTTTGTTAACAATTAATATTTTAACAATTAATATTTTAAGATAATGATTGCCGATAAAATCATTTTAACTTGTTTGTTGTGTAATTGAAAAGTAACTTTTTTCTGTTTTATTAAATCTTTATGTTTTCTAAACAGCACGTTAACGTGCTTGCTAATGTTAAACCTTTGCATTTCTCCTAAAATTGATATTGTAAAAAGCCAAGATTTGATTGTTATTAATGAATAACATTGACATATAGCTTAGCTATAACTAGTTCGAGTTTAAACTATTGTAGATGGGTTTAGGTAAAGGTTAAACTGCCTGTAAAACTGCCTGTTAAATGTATGTGTCACTGTCACCCTAACTGCTAGATTGCATCTCACACTATACTTTATATGCCTAAATACCATATGTAGTATATGATCTTAGCTATAATACGCTCAGTAATTAATGTTTGCAAATGAAATTAACATTTAATTTAACATTTAAAGTGCATTTTAAGAGTGCCTCTGTTTCTGTTTCTGTTTCTGTTTCTGTTTCTGTGACTGCCAAATCCCACCTCGCACTTTACTATATATGGCTTGGCGTCTCTATTGTTTCAGTCGCCGTCTTGGTTGTGGATGTGGACGTGGACGTGCTGTTATAGAGGCGGCTTCTGTGCGGACGCGACTGTTCATTAGCCGTGACGCCCACGCCAGACCTTCGACACGCCGCTCGGGAGCCTGGCTGTGTGTTGGCCTTGTGGGGCACAGATTGCCACCGTTAGATAGCCAAAAAAAAAAAAAAAAAAACAAAAAACAAAAAATAATTCAAATGGAGCTGCAGCAGCAGCAGCAGCAGCTGGCGAGGATCTGGGGCACTACAGTAGACATAGACATAAGCGAAGACTCACCGCGGCGGGCCAGCGCGTGAGCGGGCATGATCTGCATCTGTGTGTAGCCGCGACCTGTGCCGGTGTCCAATATGGTCATCACCTCGTCGGGACTGAAGGCGTTGTGCTCGATCATGGTGTCGTCGATGGAGAGCACCTGATCGCCAACGGATAAGGCACCACAACTGCAAAGGGGTTAGCCGTGAGAATGGATTTCTTTATTTCACACAACTTTGGTAGTTGCTAATCCTCACCGATCCGCAATGCTGGCTGGCAGGATGCTGGCTATAAAGACCCCTGCCGACTCCTCAATCTTCTCCTGGGCGCTGCTGGGGGGTGTGCTCGATCCAGATCCAGAGGCGGCCACTGCGGGCGTATAGTTGCAAAGAACCAAACCCAATTTGTCGTTCATCGGACGCTCGATCTCGATGAGCAGCGGTCCCATCGAGAACTCGACGCTCTGCACCACAGAGACATCGTACTCGATGGTCAGGTTGGTGTAGCCGGAGACATGGCCGCCGCACTTGATGATCTGCTGGGCCTCCGCCAAGGTCTTGCCTATCAGCGAGACCTAAAAGGGCAGAGAGAGATGGTTTTTCAGCAAACGGAAGCGGAAGCGGAAATGGAGGTGTCAAGGTGTCACTCACATTATCGACGCGCAGCAGCCGGTCGCCGGGCTTGATGCGTCCGGTCTTGTAGACGGGTCCATGGGGCCGAACATGGGTGACAATCAGCGGGTAGTCGGCCCCACCGCGCAGCGTTAGACCCAAGCAGCCGCTCTCCCGCTCCACTGTGATCTGTGCCAGCTTCGAGGTCACGCACAGGCTGTTCTGGGAAACTGCTAAAGAGGGCCCATGATGGAGGAGTATAGCTTGGGCATGAAATATATCACTTACTGTATTCGGGCAGCGAGTATTCAATCTCCACAATGGCGGGACCTGACTCTGATCCTCCAGAGCAAAGCATATTCATTACCTTCTGGTTGCTCAGGCCAATTGTGGAGATGCCATCGATCTGATGGAGGCGATCGCCGGGCGCCAGGAAGTCCGCCGCATGGCCCACGGGACTCAAAGCACCCACCACCGGCGGATACGATAGGTCGTTGCGTTCTAAGAGGAGTACAAATACAGATATACATAGGTATCTATTATATATGCTTTTCTTCCTTTTCCAATCTCTCGGAATTAATTAAATCTCCTCCTGGATGGTACTACATAGTGTTTGCCCCCCTTTTTTCATTTGGATTTCCTTTGCCAGCTACTCTGTCAGCGACTCGTCAGCCAACGCAGTAAAATCTGAGGGAAATCAAGGGGAAATCGGGTGGAAAACTGGGGGGGAAATCATAGAAAATTGCAGAAAGTCAAGGGGGTAAGAGGAAAACAACAGCGCGTAAATAAAGAAATCGGGTAAAAAAAAAGCGGCGACGGACAGTAGTTTGGGGCCAGCCGCATTGAGAGCGCAACTGGCGAATTGCCAAAAAAAAAAAAAAAAAAAACAGAAAAACTAGCCGCCAAAAAAAAGTTGTCCCATAAGAAAAGCTAAGAAAATAGTAGGAAAATTATGGGGGAAAACCGACACGTCGCGACGCTTTATGACAACACATAGCAAGACACTTTTTCCCTCCTTCCCTGGAAAGTGCAAATGATGCTGATGGGGTAGGGAATTACGTCAGTCGAGAGAAGGAGAACCCTTGGAGGGTTAGGGTTAAGGGTTAACGTTAACCCCTCCCCCGCTGGAAACAGTGACCCTTCGCCTGGACTTCACACCACATAAATTGCCAAAAGCCACATCGCCCGGCAGATTAGTCAAGAGTACCAAATCCAAATCAAGATGCGAATGGTTGGACTTTATATTCTGATTCAGACGAAATCCGTCACACCAGACAGCAGGGGTCAAGGGAATAGGGAAGTAGGCAAATCTTGAATAAATAATAACAAGTAATTAATTATTAATAATTAAAAAGAAATAAAAAGAAAAAGCTAGGCATATAGAAAGAAGCTTTCAAGCAGAGGACCGCGAGTCTGGGCTAAGAATACCTCTGGTTTAAGGTTATAAATAAATTAGAAAAAAAGGAACAAAAGGTAGAAATATATACTTTATTCTAAACTATATTTGTATCTTAGACCTTTTGTATCTTGGTCAATAATAAAATCATTTGATTCCTTGAAATATTCAAGCTTCTTGGAGTTTGGTAACTAAAAACTTGACCTCTTGTGTGTAGCGCCTACGTGGTACATACTCATTATTATGTCTGGCATCGGTCCCCGTCCCGCCTTCTGGGGGTGGGCTTCTCTCTAGATTGGAACGATGATTTATTTTGGCAGCGACAACAGCAGACGGAGACTACAAAATACAGACGGAATCAGAGACGGAGACGTTTGCCGGGAAGCCACGACGAGCATTATCGACGGCGACAGAGACGCGTTCCGCATTCAAATCGAATGATTCCGGAGACCGGCCCACATTGTCTAGCGATCGGCGGTGTATAGCTTTGGCCATACATATGTACATATATATATATATATATATTCTTTTGCATGGAAACCACCCTCAAAGAAATGCTAGAGCCATCTGAGAGGGCAGCCAGCCACCCATCATAGACCCGACCCCATCGACATAAATCAATGCGTAGCCCAAGAAATAAGTACTTTCGGTTGATATAGACGACTGGCTATAAACCCCAAAAAATATATTCCATAAATGTGGAATAGATTGGACTTAAAATGGGCTTTATAAGCTATGATTTCTCTTTTTGAGAGAAGAAAGACTAGTTTTCTCTATTTCAGGGTGCTTAAGAAATAACTAGGAGTTTACAAAACCCTTTCAAATATGTCTAAAAGTATGCAATACAACATTTTAAAGCACCAAATTCAATATACATTTGTGTAGCATACTTTTAGAGACTACTTTAAAGGGATTTAAAACCGCTGGGAATTTTTCCAGCACTTCCTTTTCTTAAAAATAGTACAAAAATTGTTTAAAAATTCTCTTTTTTTATGGATAAAAAAAAACAATAAAGATTTTATAACTGACTTACTTAAACTCTTAAAATATATATTTTCAAGGACTAATTAATTACCATTTCACCTTGACAATTAAAGCAAATAATCCAGTAATGGATCAATCAATATTATTATGAGCAACCCGCATAAATATCGCCATCAATTGAGTTTTCTGATTGATCCGCAGCGGGGTTAGCCCAATTTGTATCTAAAATAATTTCCCCCGAATCTGATTCATACATATATATGTATGTATGTATATACCGATTGCTACTGATTCATAGTGACAGCTGCCAGGGCAGCCAAAGAGCTCGTCAAATCTTTTCCTTGCCCTGGACCAGCATAAAGATATCGGCTTACCCACAACCCCTTTTGTTTTTTCCCTCCACTCGAGAGGCATTAGTGGAGGGAAATATCTAATACCCCTCTCGCTCTCTCACCTGCAAATGTGATGGCTAAATGCAGGGCATTCCGTGGCAGGGTAATGGTGGCATAGGTGGTGCCCCTTTCCGGGGCCAGTCCAGAGTCCTCCGATTGCGCCGGACTCATGGCGCGGTCAACTGCGAAAAGAAAGTGAAGATTGTTAAAAAAAGAAAATTAAAGAAATTTAATTTAAAATTTAAAGATTTAGGAAAATGTTTCCCTATTTTCTCGATTTCTTTAATCTTTGTTCCTTATTTTTTTTACTATGTGCTCAGATCCCACTTCAAAGGTGTCAGGGAATACAAGAAACTTCTTTACTCCTCCACTGACCAAGTGCTGAATATCTTGTTGTAATTGTGTAATTTCTAGGGAAAATGTGTGGGAAATGCAGACATCAAAGAAGACACTACTATGCTATAATCCACAGGCGTATCCAATTCAATTCGGAGAATCCCCCAAAACACAAATCGCGACCTTCGGCGTCGCCAAAAAAGCTTCAATTAAAATTCCACAAGCGAATGAATCTCACTCGGTGAATTATAAAAACCACAAAAACAGACAGCCCAGTATTTATATATACATATATATGTATATATATGAACTCAATTAATCTTGTACGATGCCCCCGACACAACAACATGTGGCACGAAAAACAAATAGAAACCAACAATACACGAGAAACACCGCCGTAGAAGTGGCAGCTTCCATTGCAGAGATCTCTGGAGATGAGGAGGAAAATTGGGAAATCGAATTAAAAATTGAAATCAAAATCGGATGGCTATAGCTATAGCCTATAGCCTGATAAAAGGCAGCACTAAATTCCGATGTGAAATGGCCAATTTGGCAATGCGATTTAAGTGACTTTATCAACTTGAGAAGCTTTCAATTTTATCGAGCTTTGCCTTAATTTCATAAAAACTTTCTAAATTCCCTTCTTAGTTTTTCTTAAATATAGAGAAATATTGTTATAAATGTAATTACCAGTTAAATAATAGTTTATCAGCGAGTCTTTTTGGAAACAATTTTGATTTTAAATATATTTTTTTGTAAATATTATAAATTAACTCTAATAACTACAATATTAACTAAAAGGCTTTAAATCACAGTTGAAATTAAAAAATATTAGTTAGATATTTGTAAACTATATTTTTTATTTTTTGTTTTGTTTTTAAATAAACAGTAGAGTGTAGAGTGTCTAGCAAAATATATTAATTTCCTATAGTTTTCACCTATCTTTATTTTTAGGTTTCTTATTTCCAAATAAATGAATTCAAACAATTAAGTAAACAATAATAAATGAATAGATAATAAGAAAAATCGATTATTTTCCTATTATTTGTCATAACAAAAGTAAAAATAATAACAAAAGACTGGTGGCAAAAAAACAATTATTCTCTGGACAGCTTACAATGTTGAGGTGGCACCCAGCCTCCCCATTACACCCCCTTTTGCCCCCTTTAGCCATCTTCATTCACTTTTTGTGTGCTTTGTGTGCTGTGTGTGTGTCGCAATACTTTTTGTTCTTATTTCGTGTTTTGTTTTGGGGACCATGCGGCGTATACGCGATCTGCTACAATTACGCCGTGTGTGCGTAACGAGTGAATTTCCTTCGGAAAAATAAAAGAAACATATATAGAGAAGAATACAACAAAAAAATACAGCAAAAAAAAAAAAAAAAAAGAAAACTAGTAGAACACACACACACTCGAGGAGGCAAACACACGTGGCAAAAGTCAGCAGCGTTTGACGCAAGCGGACGCGACTTTTATTTTCGAACGCTTCAATGGCGCATAAAGTTTTTCTTAATGCGCCCGCCCGACTATGAAAAGCAGCAACAATAATTAGGCAAAAGCCAAAAGCCCCCAAGGAAAATGGAAAAACTAACCAGGGCCAGGGACCAGGGGTAGAAGCAGCAGCAGGGGCAGCAGAGCTGCTAAAAAAACGTAGCGTTTCGCTTCATTTGTCCAACAAAACACACACACACACATACTATATAAAATTGTATATACATTTATACATATATATATATATATAAGCATATATGTATGTGTGCATATGTAGAGAGCTGATTCGCTATAATTTATTTTCATTTAATTTGTTTTCTTCGGTTGCGACTTCGGCTTTGCTTCTTCTTAGCCTACGAAAGGTGTGCCAATTTGGGGCAGTTGTTGCACCTTTGGCTACACTGAGGAAAGTTTTTCTCACTCAAAAATTAAATAAGATATATCTAAGCTTAAACTTAAAAAATAATAATAATGATTTTTAGTCTACAACTAAATAAGCTAAATAAGATTGAAATTAAAATTAATATATATTAATATATTTATTTACCAAGTTTTAGGTAGCCATTTTTCAATAATACAAATTAAAAGCAAGTTATATATTTATTTCCCAGCTCCAAATATTTTTTAATATTAAATTTAAAGTGTAAAAATACGAAAGAATTAAGAAATAAATTTTTAAAAAACGTTTAGCTGAGCATCTTATTTTCTACTAAATGTAAACTTTGTTTTTATGTGGTAGAATTTATATTACCTTATTAATACAACTTTTATAATATGTAAAATAATATTTATCAAAACAAAAAATAAATTTGAATATTATGTTTTTGTAAGAAAAAACATAAAAAAATATAAAACACTTTCCTGAGAAAGTTTTTTTCCTTTTTAGTAATTTTTCTGTTTTGTTTTTGTTTTTGTTTAAATTGTACCTTTTCCCCTCCCTCCCTCTATCTCTCTCTCTTTCAACGTCTCCACTTTGATTCGCATTCGCTTTGAAGTCTTAACATTTCTCTATTTTTTTTTTCTATTTTTTTGATGCGCTTTTCATTTGCTATTTTTACATGTGGACTTTTCATTTTCGGTTTGATTTCCACCGGCGAAGGCGCTATTAGTTTTTCCTCTTGCTTTTTTTTAATATTTTTTTTTTAGTTTTCTTTTCTTTCTTTTTATACCCTTGCAGGGTATTATAATTTCAGTCAGAAGTTTGCAACGCAGTGAAGGAGACCTTTCCGACCCTATAAAGTATATATATTGTTGATCAGCATCAACAGCCCAGTCGATCTAGCCATGTCCGTCTGTCCGTCTGTCCATCTGTCCGTCTGTCCGTCTGTCTGTTTCTACGCAAACTAGTCCCTCAGTTTTAAAGCTATCTGAATGAAACTTTGTATAGGGTCTTCTATATACTCTCACTGCTATATATGTCGGAACGGGCCGGATCGGACGACTATATCATATAGCTCCCATACAAATGTTCGATAAATTTTTAGAAAAAAAATTATAACTTAGCTGTTTTTCAACATTTTTGCACCATTTTTTAGATATGGCCATTTTATATTATCCGAAAAGTGCTTGTCAAACTGTAAAAGTTGAATCTCACTTGGACCAGTGCTTATCAAACTGTAATCTGAACTTCCGCCTAAAAGATGCCACGTTTTTAATAGAAAACCCCAAAAGTATGCTTTAATTTTTTAATAATGCTAATGAGCATCACAGATGCAAGTGAGCAAAATTTTTCATTCAATTTGGCCGCTTTCCAGACTGGGGTAACAGGCGAACAGAAACCAGCAGCAAGCAACTGAAAACTGGTATAAACTGTTATAAAAACTTTTGGGCAAATATAATAATTGGTATAAACTGTTATATTTCATTTTATGCATTTATACCTATTTGTTGCCGACAACAACAGCTTGATGGCAACAACAACCCCTTTACAACAACATCCCTGCAGCAGTCCATACAAATTTCTGAAATTTTCCATGCAAATTGCCCGTTTCCCAAATTGGGATAACAGGCGAACAGAAACCAGCAGCAAGCAACTGAAAACTGGTATAAACTGTTATAAAAAGTCCAAGTTTCGAACCATTGATCTTGGAGTAAGCGAAGACTCAAACCAGATATGACCATATTGTACATTTTTTGGCTAAAATGTTGCTTAAATGCACCTGGGCACACTGAATCTGACTTTGCATCAGTGATGCTCATCTATCTATTTTGTCCCAATAAAGAAATATAGCTAGATGGGCATCACTGCTATTACGCCTGATATATTGCCTCCCAATATTGCAAAATAGCTACATGAGCATCACTGATGCAAAGTCTGATTTTATAGCCTCCCAATATTGCAATATAGCCAGATGAGCATCACTGCCATTAAGCCCGATTTTATAGCCTCCCAATATTGCAATATAGCTAGATGAGCATCACTGATGCAGATGAGCATCACTGATGGAAGTGAGCATCACTGATGGAAGTGAGCATCACTGATGGAAGTGAGCATCACTGATGGAAGTGAGCATCACTGATGGAAGTGAGCATCACTGATGGAAGTGAGCATCACTGATGGAAGTGAGCATCACTGATGGAAGTGAGCATCACTGATGAAAGTGAGCATCACTGATGGAAGTGAGCATCACTGATGGAAGTGAGCATCACTGATGGAAGTGAGCATCACTGATGGAAGTGAGCATCACTGATGGAAGTGAGCATCACTGATGGAAGTGAGCATCACTGATGGAAGTGAGCATCACTGATGCAAGTGAGCATCACTGATGGAGATGAGCATCACTGATGCAAGTGAGCAAATTTTTTCATTCAATTTGGCCGCTTTCCAAACTGGGGTAACAGGCGAACAGAAACCAGCAGCAAGCAACTGAAAACTGGTATAAACTGTTATAAAAACATTTGGGCAAAAATAATAATTGGTATAAACTGTTATATTTCATTTTATGCATTTATACCTATTTGTTGCCGACAACAACAGCTTATGGCAACAACAACCTTTTTACAACAACATCCCTACAGCAGCCAATCCAAATTTCCGAACATTTCCATGCAAATTGCCCGTTTCCCAAATTGGGGTAACAGGCGAACAGAAATCAGCAGCAAGCAACTGAAAACTGGTATAAACTGTTATAAAAAGTCCAAGTTTCAAACCATTTCGGAGCCGGCGGTAGTAAGCGGAGACTCAAACCTTTTGAATCCAAATTTAGGTGTTATTTTACAACTGCACCTGGGCACACTGAAACTGATCGTCGTTAAATTCAAATTTGACAGTTAAATTCAAATTCAAATTTGGCAGTTAAAATATTTAAAAAATTTTTTTTTAATTCTAAAAAAATTTTAAAAATCCAAAAAAA